TGCTATGGAAATCGCACCTTTCTTCTCAGCTGCTAGGTAGGGAAAACCCGAATTATACCTAGGTAACCTCACACAGCCCCACGCAATCTACCTTAGAAACATAGACGGATATGCTTTGTAATGTAACTCGCTTAGCTGACAGCAACCGAACCAAGTCAGGAGCGTGGACACACCGGACAGTGCTGCTCTCCAGGCCTGTATTCCAATCAATCAGCTTTATATCGGGGGATATATAGGGATTTTATTAGGGTATTTACGGTTTATATAGGGGTATATAGGGATGTATAGGGAGAGAAACCCTAAGAATGGAGAATGTCATGAAACGTCAAAAGAAAATCAAATTTGAAACTCGGGGTTTAGAAGGATACAGGGCTTAAGAATTTCAGGACGTCTGAAGGTTTAAAATGCGGGGCCCTTAGGTGAGGCTTTCTCAAATTAGAGGATAACCAGGAAATTGCAGGGTGCAGGGATTTAGTTAGGACTAGGATTTCTGAAGATTGGAGGCCGGTAAGGACCCTAGAAATGGTGGGTCTTCAAGGGATGTCATGACGGTCTCCAGTCAGGATTCTGCAGCGGAAATGCTGAGAAACCCCCATGTCATACCCACGTGTCCAAAGCTACTGTATGAGCTAGAGTCTAAACTCCCCAGAAGGGGGAGATATATAGGGGGTTATATAGGGGACTATTATATGGGTTATGAAGGGGGATACTAGGAGTTTAGACGATAGCTACTGTATGGCTTCTAGGATGACCAGCCTCATCACCAGCACTCTATGCTGTTTTCTCTCTGACTGCCAGATTCTGACAGCGCCGTATCATGCAATATCATGCTGTCATCATCGTGACCGTTGATCTGTGATTCTTCTTCATGCATTGCTTCAACGCTACGATTTAGCCACAACTCTAAGTCCTAAGCCCCAATCCCTAAGTCCCAAAGCCTGATACTTTTTCCAAGGCCACGGAGGCGTTGAGGGCCAATTTGCCCGGAGATGACTGGCAACACTTTTGGTGTGGCCAGCTGGAGCCAGACGTTGGCTACGTGCCGCCGTGCGGTTGGGATTCCGGAGTTTTGCGACGGCATGGGGCCCATAGAGGATTCAGGGTACATGCGCAGGGTGTAGGTTCAGTCTTAAATGTTTAGGATATTGTGCAAATGAAGTGAGGAAGAGATGGGAGTACATAGGGGCATGTACGGAACTAAAGCGGATTAGGATGCTGGAATGTCAGTCTATTTACTTATCTTTGGTTAGCTGGGAATGAAGGCATGGAAAGGAAAATGGAAGCTACCATAATGGGTTATATAAAGCTACTAACCAAAGGTAGATGTAGGGTCCTGTAGGAAGCGCAAGGGTCAGTTCCCAATCAGAGCAGGAGAGAATGGAGGACCCTGAGCCTACACCTGAAACATGCGCACAACAGTCTAAACTCCTTACAGCGCCTTGGTTGTATAGGGCTCAAATACAGGGGGATACGAGGAGTTTAGACGATGGCTCATCTGGTCCGGGTTGTGACCAGAACTTGCAAAGAAAGGAGCCGCAGGACAGCCCTTACTCTTGCTGAGGGAACCCCAACTAAGCTTGGAGACTTGAACCCTTACTACGTTGGGTCACAGAAAGGTGCCTCCTGCTGGCAGCTGGTCTTTCGTGATCTTCGGCACTGCTGGAAGAGATTTTGGATGTTTGAAAACCGAGAGTTTAGGGTCCAAGGGTGTTAGGGGTGGAGGATAAGGTGTAATGGGTTTTGCCCGCCCTAGAGCATTCAGCTCTACCTCACCTTCTTCCAAAGCCCTGGGCTGCAAAAGCAGGAGCCCCCAAACCTGAATTGCAGAATCTTGAAATGAGAGTTTCCCAAGGGATCCCAAGTGATAGTATTTTAGGGTGTATGTTGGGTCTCCTTATTTAGGGAAACAATCGAATGTGGAATGCTGTGATTTTTGTCCTGGCAGACTGTGAAGGATTAGCCACCGCCCGCATATGGGAGACGATTACGACGTTGCCGCCCCGCAGCGGTGTTGCCGCCTCTGCCAGAGAGAGCCCAGGTGGGTTTGCTCACATTGGGGGTAAGGGGAGTAGAGGGCCCTCAAGTCAGGCGATTCTGAGGGGATCATCGGGCCTTGGGGATTATGGCTTAGGATGCGGGGTTTATCAAATTCGGGGATGATGAGGGGATCACAGGGTTTAAGGTTTAAGGTTTAGGGAATGGGGCAGGGGGTAGAGATTACGATGCGTACGCCGTATTCTGTCAAGTAGATTGGTTAGGGTAAGGTCCAGGTAGGATGGGGCGGGAAGGTAGGATGGGTTGGGGTTTGTTCTTGTGGTGGGGATTTGAAGGGGCGGAGGCCACAGGATTTGGGGAACGGGGAACCCGGACTTTTCAAATGAAGCACCCTCCGCCACCAACATGTGAACCAGTTCAAAACTCTTGAAAAAGAAGTGAGATCAGGACTACAGCAGGTTGATTTTCCGTTTGTTTCCATGCCAGACAAAGTATGCCACCAGGGCTGCTGCCAAGAGGTTCCGTTTGGAAATCGCTTGTGCAATTTCTTCCACCTGTAGCCTTACAGAACCCCATTACTATGACTACGACTACCATTCCCGCTGCCGCGGCTATGGTGGCAGCACAGTGGCGCAACGAGAAGGACCACGACGGTGGGGAAGGCGGCTGCTGCGGCGACCATGACGACCACCAAGACGACTACGATGTCTGCTGCCACTCTCCTCCTGCTTCTCCTCTTCCTCTACTTCTTTTCATCGTTGTTGTAGAGGGGCGGCCCTTACCTCCAAGAATCACGGTTCATCTTGTACTCGAAGGTGTTAACTCCTGTAGAGGTGCAAGTCGTGGACCTGGAAAGATGGAGGTCCACGAAGGTGTGAGATGTATGGAGCTGTGCCTGGGCTCGCGAAGTTCTTTCTTTTGACATTTAAACATGTACGGTTTTAGGCAGGGTTAGGTTTCCGTCGTTGTTATTGAGGTAGAGTTTCCCCTCAGTTTGGGAGCGCCTGAACACTGTGGGGCCTTGCTCACGCGTTTTTGGAGTCAGGTTTACTGAGCATTCTTCTTTTTTCCAATGAGCTTCGTAATCACCTCCTTATGTCTTGTAGCCCCAAGCCCTTAAACCCCTAAAGCCCTAAACCCTAAACCCTTAAACCCCTAAAGCCCTAAACCCTAAGTGCACTTGGAACCACAAGCCTCAGGCCCCCAGCGAGAAAGAAGCCATAGCAGGCTACGTCTCCGGGCTGCCGGCGGTAGAAGCGGCCAGAGAGGTGCGTACATGAGCTAGAGTCTAAACTCCGTAAAAGGGGGATATATATAGGGGGTTATACAGGGGATTACTACATGGGTTACTAAGGGGAATACTAGGAGTTAAGACTATAGCTTCCATGGTTTGAGGTGCAGGGTCTAGGTTTTGGGGCATTTAGGTCCGATGACTTTTTTTTGTTCAGGGCTAGCTTGCTTAAGGTGTCTGGATGGTATAGGGGTTGGGGTTTGGGGTTGGGGCTGTAGAGCCTTGAGGTTGAGCGTTGCGGCTTCGTATTTAGGGGTTGGATGCGAAGTGTAACAGTTGACAATGAATTCTTGTTTCGTTCTGGTTCATATTCAGATGTGAGTTTCCCCAAAAGATCCCTACAGTATCCTCAAGTGTGGGACCCCATAATCTCCTTCCAACCCCAGATATCCCAAGGTGGCTAAGAGTATCCCTGGAGGCCGTCCAAGCAGTAGCCACTGCGATCCGATCTCTACCGCATGCGTGAATGCGGATCAGTTGGATGCTTTCTTGATAGCCATTTTGCATGGGAGGTACTGTTGGACTTGTAGTATCTTCTGGCGGGAACAGACGTACGATGGTATAGAATTTTTCGATTGCCTCAGCGGGCGCATGCTGTTGGAAAGCGAGCAGGTTGTCTGAAGCGTTTCACCGTTTGATGACGTAGTTGGGAAGTGGGAATCATCCACCCCATCACGTTCATCTTTAGCTTTCACTCTAGGTGAGGTTGCCTTTATGCAGGCGTTCAGTCTTGACTCGGCATCCTGTCCTTGCAAAGAGGTTTGCGCCAGCTACAGAGGTTTGCTTACCACTGGCTGCCATCATGCAAATAGCTGGAGCAGGTCGCGCTGTCAGACTTTGGCACCGCGATGAGGACCTTGCAAGAAGCGTTCCGTTTTGTTTTTTCAACCCATGGCACCGCAGTCATCAATGTAATCATCATGCTCTGATGCCAAGCAAAAGCTGTACAGGCACGATGACTGTCCATGCAGTGTCTTGCTCTACAGGGCGCTGTTGTGGTGACCGCCTCTGCTTGCCGCCGTGGTTGCCACTCCCCGCTCCTCCTCCTCCTCCTCACGCTCCTCCTGACTCCTGCTACCATCCTGTGTGATTCCACGTTGCAAAGCTGTCAAGGCATCTCAAGAGCACTTCTAAAGCTTGCCAGTCATTGGGTCCAGCGTGAAGAGACGTCCTTGTGTAACAGGAAGAAGTTTCTCAGGGGCCCCTCATAAATTCTATGCCCTCTCCAATCATGCTCCTTGCCTTTTGGGCTCCAACATGCTTCTGACAACGCTTCAGGATTGAGAAGGGGGAGATGATTTACAGCCGCGTGGGAACACCGGCCTTCTGGGCTCCCGAGGTGCGCCAATCTACAAGAATCTTTGCGGGCCTTGTTTCGTATGATGTCTAAGTCATAGCAAGAACTATGGTAAGACCCATACGTATCGAGCCGTGTGAATGGTTCATGACGCTAACATTAATGCTAGCATTAATGCTGCTTGAAATGAGAGAGGTACTGCCAGGAAGGTGAGCCCGTAGGAATGCTACATGAAGGTTGCTGTTGGAGTCAACAGCTTCATCAAGGCTCTCGAGTACTTCTCGCTTTCGCTGCATGTGCATGGGGTAGTATGGGCGGACCTCAAGCACGGATCTGATTAGTTATACTTCCGCTCTTTCTAGTTGTCTTGGCTATTACCCCACCCACGAACCTCCGGGCATTTTCTCGGCCCTCGAGTGCTTGCCCCATCAGATTTTCGCGGGCGGGTATGACTTTGCCGTCGACGTGTGGGTCCGCCCTCAGAGAAGTCCATTAGCGAGTATCCAAGTCTTGCCCAGGGCTTGGAGTTTAGAGTTCAGGGGTCAGAGGAATTAGGTGATTAGGTGCCACTGGGTCGAGGTTGTTGATATTTTTCAGCACTGAGGGCCCCAGCACTGAGGGCCCAAAAACAGATACACGGAAGGTGGAAACTTCTCGCATAAGAGGTGGTTGCAAATTGTTGGAAGCGACTTTTGATTGTGAGCCATTTGTTGTGCTGACAGCTCTTGCTCCCCTTCCTATGGACCCCCGATGCTGCTGTTTCGGTGTGTAGTTCGGTTAGACTATGAAAGCGGCTCTCATCACAACCAGCTCTTCTCGTTGGTCTCGCGCGCTCTTATCCGTAAATGACATGTTCAATGCTGAGGGCTCGATGTCTTGGGTGCACTGCTTGCTCTTCAAAAGCGCAATCTGTTTGGTCAAGAGCGTGTTCTGCAAATAAGTCCTGAGTGCATGGAGGTTTGCTCTGTCAACAGTGGCCGTAGGTTAGGTATGAAGGCCAAGGAGAAACAAAGGGACCAGTCTTGACAACAGCATTTTTCAAGAGGTTCCAGATAGGTGTATCAAATCTATGCATGATGCCATGCATATTTGCAGGATCTGTCGGAGGTTCTAGCGTCACCCAACAAGGTCATCACCTGTAGTCTATGTAGTTGTTGCGATCGCTATGCGAAGTCTAAAGCCACTTTGCAGCAAGTGATGTTTCACGCAACCGTATACATTCTCAAAGTTCGTGATGCTTGAGCAAACTTTTTGAAACTGTCGAGAGAGGTCTCTGGGGATGCACAGTATTTGTATATTCATTTGTGTTCTCAGCAAGATCGTCAGTTGAGAGATACCCACTGACAACTTTGCATATGTTTTAAGTTTTAATCATATGATACGGAGCCGTCATGCTCAAAACATGCAGGGGTCCCTTGCTTTAACAAATAGATCTACCTGCATGTTTGCACGAGGTGACCTGGCAGTGCATGTGAAGCGAGTCCTTGCCCAGATTGGCAGTGGTAGTAAGTTCTGGCGGTGCACATCGCGAGGCTGTCGGTGTGACAACGTTCATCTTGATGACTGGCGCACGCGCCCCTGAAGTCGTGGGCAATGGGATCGGGATATATTACTATTCCTATATTACCATTACCATACCACTATATTATCATGTTCTAGTGTTATAGTACTCTAGTGTTTTTAGTCTATAGTACTACTATACTCCTACAGTACTATATTACTTATTCCAGCACTCAAGAAGCCACATGAACACAAGGATCTCTGATAGTTCATGTGAGCTCAAGTCTAAACTCATTAAAGGGGGAGTTCTATGGGTTTAGGATTTAGGGTGTAGGGTTTAGGGTTCACGGTTTAGGGTCTAAACTCCTTACGCGGGGTTATGTCATAAGAGATTATATTAGGGGTTACTATAGCGCTTATTGAGGGGGATACTAGGAGTTTAGACTATGTCTCATGTATAGCCTGTTTATGGTCCATGTACTTGCTGCAGCAAACAGGGTTTGCAGTATGATAATGACATGTCATAATGCGCGGTCAGCGTCGCCAGCGCGGCAATGCATATTATTGCGAATAGCAGAGCCAGAGGTTGAAGAGGAGGAGGTTGAGGAGCAGTCGGAGGAGGAGGAGGAGGGTAGAAGTAGTAATGGTAGTAGTGCCCGGAAGAGGAAGCCTTATCATTTGCAATATACACATATTAAATATTACGGAGACTTACTTTGGGCTCATTGACGGCTACGAAACCCGCTGAGAGCTTGAACTGAAGCATGTCGAGCACTTCTATCTTGCTGTTCTGAAGATATACTTCACCAACCCTAGGCATGCCTCAGGCCCTGGAGTCCCAAGACACGTCCAAGGCTTTACCTTACGAAGGAGAAGCTGCTATTTGCACTCCGTCAGGCGGATGATGCTGGTAACCGTAAGGGGTTGTTGGTAACCCCAACTCCCCAAATTAGGACCTTATTATAGTCATTGTGATAGTTATTAAAGGGTTCTAAGGGCGGGTGGGTTGGGCTTACTCAAATCCTTTGTTGTGTAAGTATTAAAGTAGCTGTAGTCCAATCCAACACAGGCTACGGCGGGGCAAATAGCATTTAGCACAGTACACATGCCGCAAGTGCATTCAAGTGGGATCGAGGTGAATCAGACACTAACCTGGCTAACCAGCACACGCAATATGTAGAATAGAGAGGCAAAACAGTACTGAGACTGTAGGGGGTAAAGGGTTGGATTCAGCTGCCAAGTTCGAGACTCCCACCTTTCCTGCGCGCTTGGCAGTGCCAACTATTCCGGACCTCCAACTTCCGTATCACTGCTCGAAGCTGGGTCGGCGACCCGGGGCAATGCCAAATCAAAGAGTTCAAGGTTTGGGGGTCGAAGGTCTTAGGGCCTACAGAGTGTACGGTTTGTGGGTTCAAGGTTGACGGCTCAAAGTGTAAGGGCTGAAGGTTTCAGAAGTTATTTCTACAATGTATTTTGGGCCTTAAACCTTGATCTTTGAGCCCTGGCTTTGGGGTAGTGAGGGCTTTACAGGTCTCCTCCATCTGACTTACACGTGTGGCACCCATTGCTCTGATACTGATACACCGTTTTTCAGGGTGGTCCTCAAATCGGGGAGATAAGGTTTGAAGGGATGGGAGATATGGTACTCTAAACAGGGGACCCAATATAGACCCCAAGAAGCCATAATCCTCCATATGAAAACCACCAAAATGGTACCCCTAATTTCAGGTCCCCTAAGGCCTAAACCCTAAACCCCCTAAACCCTACACAGGATTGTAAACCCCATCCAAAACCTCTGACTAAGGTGCGGACTTTGTGCTTCAGACTTTGAAGAAGGAGACCGGTACTCGGGATTATATAGGGATAGTGGAAAATAAAATGGAAACTATTATGTCAAAATAAGGTGTATATATATATATATGATTCTAGTCACTGGCCACTGCGTTTTGGTCGCCGGTTTGGGTGCCTCAAGACGATAATTACCCCCCCCCCCCCACAATGTCACCCGCACTATGACCCGTGTTTGTGTAGAATGTCCTGCCGCCCTGAGATACACCTGAATGAAACAAGATCCTCCCAGCACAACATGCAACCTTTCAAATCCTGAGCATGAGGGGGCACGAAAATGGCGCCCCCTGATTGAACTTGAACTTTCAAACCGGGCATGGAAAGAGGAAGTCAGAAAATTTCGGCTGCGTGGGCAGTTCTGCTTGTCCGTTTCTTGTTTAATGTTTGCAGTGCCCGGGCAGTCTGTGTCAGGACATTTCGGAGCGTCCCCTCGCCAGAGAGGCCAGCACCTAATAATTGCAAGGGTGTATTCTTCAGACCCTTTTGCTGTCGAAGGTAGGTTTGGTTAGATTTGCGGCAAGAGCATTGTCTGACATGGGGAGCGCAACAGTCCAAAGCCCTAGGCACTTGCCGTTTTGTGCTTTCGGTCTTTCTTGGTTTGGAACCTCACATGAGTAGTGTTCTACTGTGGATACGACAGTTCCCAATCTAGAGTAAGATCATATCGCATTCCGAAGAATGTGACCTTATCAGGTTCAATCAGCAAAAGCAGAAGGCTCATGTGTGATTTCCTTTATCATGTGATTTCTAGCTGGGCAGGCAGCGCGGCACCCGTGGTTGACGACAAAACAGCCGTCCGATGCGCCCATGGAAGACAGCCCCCAGGAGGAGGTGGTTGTGGGGTCTGGAAAATGGTTTCACCAGTTTGTGCTACAACCCTCGCTCAATCATTTGCACAATAAGCTTGGAGGGAGACAGTCCATGGTTGGGAGTTCTCATGCAAGAATGGGGTTTCTGCGCCTCTAAGTGTCGGAAGCCTTCACACCCTTCAGGAGACCCTTGTCAATCCCATGCCAGAACATGGTGCTCTTTGATACTCTTCACCCGGAACCCTGAACTGTCAAAAGCTGCCTAGACCTGGCCAGGCTACTTCCAGCTTTGGTCGGCTCTTGAACTGCGTCTTCTCAGCGTTAGGAGGCCATGGAACCCAGCACTGAGGCTTGAAGAGTTACCACTGATGCCGCTCAAAGGCCCGAGAATAGTTGAGTTCGGCCAGACCTCAGATATCAGAAAACACCCATGGTTATATATGCTCCCTGCACTCTTTTGAGGAATCCGAGAGCTTGTGAGGTGATGGTGTATTTGTCTAGTGTCCACCCCATTGCTTCTTCCTGCGTTTGATTTTGATCATCGGCATGGTGTCCATGGGTAACGGTATTATCCGTTTGCATGAGTATGTCTTCTGAGTCCTATGGAAAAACATTTCTAGATGAAAGGCAACTGAGACTCATGCGGTGGTCCCGCAGCAACTCCCCATGCAATGCAAGGATCAAATCGTTCAGATTTCCATGTTTGCATGACACGGCTTATCTGCACAGGGAGCCATCAGCCACAACCCTGAACCCTTGGGAACCCTCCTGCCTTAGCTGTTGGTCAAGGGGCTAGCGTAGGCCTGATGGTGCTCGCCTGCAGCGCGCTGGGTAACTGCCTCTGCCTCAGCTGGGTTTAGGATGGCTTAGGGGTTGAAGGCTCATGGGGGCATGAGGGATAGGTAAGTTTTACAGGAGCCTTTTGGGCTTGTGGTGCTTGTCGGGAGTTTAGGGTTTAGAGATGTTTGGTGTTTAGTTGGAGATGGGGCGTTGTCTAGTCATTTGGCCACGTGTCTCCGTGAGTGTAGATTTGCACGTACTGCTGAGGAATTATACAGGGCATGGTGATGGGCCTTATTTATCGCGGGCCATGGCTATATGCTACGAATAGAAAGCCACACATCGGGGTATAGGGTCTATGAGTCGCCTTATGCCCATAAGAGTTTAGAAATCGGCGCCCTTGCAGTTTGTAAGTTTCACATCAGTACTGAGAAAACTCTCCGGCCTTTACTCGGGTTGGATTAAAGGTCGCCCGACTGCAAGGCCTCACTAACAGCGAACCATACAGAGCTCCCAACTTCAAATCCTACTACAAACCCAGAGACTGTGAAACCTTACAACCTGATGAAAATCCTGAATATGGATCATGGCACGCTTTTAGGGCATCTTCCTCAACCCACTGGTTAAAGCTCTAAGCCCTATCCGCCTTTGCGGAGAAATCAAAAGAAACTTGCTCGTGGCCCCCGACCCCGAATAGGGTTTTGCATTTGCTCGTGTTGTCTTGTTAGCTGGTCCTGTAGGGACAAAGCTGGCTACGAGTTTGTAACTTAGAGCCCATCACAAGTGTGCTGGATGCATGGAAATGCCTTCTCTGGGGCTTGCTTCAGCATTCAGAGTTATTGGTGATCGCCGATGATTGAAGGCAGGGTCCAATGAACCCTGTAAATGCACAAGCGTTGCGAATCTTGTAGAATCGTAGAACAAGGTATGGACGCCATGTGCGACCAGAACGAGGCCTCCGCAACTGTCTTGCATTTGGGCAACCCGGAACCCTTGTTCTCAGTCGGGAATATGGGAACATATTATGTAGGGGTTATTTCGGGATTATATTCCTTTATTCCGTACTACGAACTTGTAAGAAGACTCTTGCTTAAGGACGACAGACAGGGTTGGAGGGACAAAGGCAAAATTGTAGTCTAAGAGGTTTCCTCCTTCAGCAGGTTACCATCTGGTTGTCAAGTGGAAGTGAGAAAGTACTTCGGACAGGGACTAGGGTTTGGGGTTAGGTCCGTGTCAAGGTTCAAACTGACGCTACCATCAGAAACACCAAATTCACTCGGGTTTCGCCATGACTTTTCAGATACTGGAGGTGGCAGTGACTACACAGGATAGTGGTACTTATACCGGGGGAGAACCTGAGGTACCTGGTGTGATCCATATGTTAAATGAAGTCGAGCCTAAACCCCAAACTCGGCAGTTTCCACTCTCTGTGGCACTTCGTCATCTCGCTATATAGCCTTGTAAAAGCTCCTTATGCGTATAAGTATTATGTAACATCTCTATGTACCCCTGTATAACCCCTATATGAAACCTTCCATCAATGGCTTTAGCCAGGTTGAAGCCGCGGCTGCCCGGTGGTCCAGCAAGGTCAGCAAGGTGGAGGGAATGCGACTTTAGGGTTTGGGAGTCTAGGGTTTCGGGTTTAGGGGTTAGGATTTTGGGTTTAGGTTTTCGGGTTTAGGGTTTAGGAGTGTAGGGGTTTGGGTTCGGGGTTTCAGAATTGAATTGTCCAGGTTTTGCCCTGGAGGCTGGATGTCACCCCTCCCCACCCAGCCGAAATTAGGCTGCAACAGCAACACCCAAAGAAGGTCTCTAGCATCCGGGTCAAACTTGGGACCACCTCCCTGTCAGCCCCGCCCTATGAGCAAAGCATGGTTCAGGCCAGCACGAGCGGCTCGCTCGTGGCAGTCGCAGACAAGGTGCCTTGGCACAGTAGGGTATGCGCGGGAGCACAAACCCTCAACCGTAGTCCGCAGCCGTGATCCCGCCAGGAAATCCTTGAGAAGCACACCACGGATCTCACGAAGCAGATTTCCGTAAACCTCTTGGAGCATCAGGTGGCCCATGGTTCATAATTTCGGGTCTCAGGATGTGTCATTGGCCTTACGCCACCGCTACTGGCACCCCCGCAGCTGCCGTCACCAGCAGCCGTTGTGATGATCTTAGAATTTAGCATAGGGACGTGAAATTCAGATGGCAAGCGCAGTCACGCGGCACCATTTTTCTCATGACTACACTTGACTACGTCTGTCCTGCCAGCGCGTCTCATGAAGTGGGTGGTGCAGCCTCGTCCCAGACGTCCTCTGTGGGTCATTCTAGTGATCTCCCTTCCTTAAATTCTTCCACGAAGTGGCAGGTCTCGCTGAGGCAGTGAGCGCCACCCGTGCGTTTGGACAGTATAGGGCTGTCTCGATTTCAGGGTCCCTTCGGGTGTGTATATGTGGAGTTGGGTACAGGGTTTGGAAGTAGGGAGTCAGGTGGGCTTGTGTGGGAAGACTGTGTGCTAGACCAGAGGGACCCCTTTTCTGAGACATACTGTATTGGGGCCCCGGGCAAACTCGCTTGTGGGCATCCGAAACGGCCGAAGAGCAGCTTTGCCTTTGGGACATGTCATAGAGATCCTCAACATGTTGTCTGCTGCTTTGAAGTTCATATCATACATGCTAATGCTGTGCATGCTTGTGCAGTCTTGCGGTGTACAGTACGAAGGGGACCACTGCTTTTGAGATATTGTCATGAACATCAAGATGATTCTCGGCATTGCGGCTGGTTGTGCGCTTTTTCTTGTACCTGCACTCTTGTTGCTCTTCTTGGCATTGCTACCCTTGTTGTTATTGGTCTGTATTTTCAAGTTTCGTATTTAATCATGAGCCCGAAAACCTGCAGCCTTAACCCGCTAGCATCCTTGCCATGTTGGGGATTGCCGTCCCAATGGCATGAGTGGATGAGCCATTTTCCGCAATGCCTGCGCAGCGACTTGCTTTGTGAAATGGGAGGAGCAAATATGATACTATATTGTTTCAGTGTAAGACCATATAAGTAATGGGCAAGAAATAGGGGCCTTAAAGGGACAGCGCTGTGCAACAGATTCGCAACAGCGCCACGGCAAGGAAGCAGCTCTGTTGATTTGCATCCCCTCCGCATTTCATGAGCCTGCTTGGCGCGTGCTGCCGAGTAGCGGATTCCCTTGGCACGCCTGGCGTCACATGGCTAGAATGGGAGCAGGTGAGTGGTTTTTAGGGACATGCTAGGTTCAGCGAAGGGTTTAGGCTTTAGCTTGGGGTCCTTGGATTCCCAGAGCCTGGAAGCAAAGGGCCATAAACCCTAAGCAGGCAGCGGCTACCATCACATCCGCTACCATTCGGGGGTCTAATGTGGAAGCCTTCATACTCACCAATGAGTTTAGGATTTAGGGTTTAGGGTTACTTGTGCAATAATGGTGTACAATGCTTCAGATAGCCTTCAACCTAATATTGTTAGTTACCTACGCACCTACAGTACCGTACTTCCTGGCATGGGCTACCCATTTCGCCACAGACAACCTTCTTGATCTGTGGTCCACTGCTAGCAGCCCATGCCAGAAGAATCATGATACCTCGGCGTGCACAAGTGCAGGCCAGCTTTTGGTGAAGTGTGAGGTAAATTATCTGTCGACAAGCAGATCTACGCGTGGGTGAGCCGAGGATCAGTTTTTCATACATTGGGGGCCAGGGTTCAATTTGAAATGCAGGCGTCTAAAGAGAGAGCCAAACAGAACAACGCCGGCGTTCCAGCAACTTTTGTGTCCCATTTTCTGCTTGAGGTGTATGCGCGACTCTTGAATCCCCAGCCCACAGCTCCATCCCTAAACTTCGCAACAGCCGCAAAGATTTCTACATGGGATCTTCGCTTGAAAGCCCTTGCCAGAAAGGCACCATGCTCCTTCTCCTGGTAAATCAACTCAACGCAAGTATAATCGCTGCAAGGGTCGCGCTTCATGCACCTTTACGCAAGGTTAGGGTTTGGAAGCCTGGGGGTGGCCTGTGAGAAGCCTGAATCTGAAAGGATCCCCACAACCCCCCTGAGTCCTGAACTCGAATCTGGATGTCTTAGCACGTTGGCGCTGCAGCACTGGTAGGGCTCCTTCCAGCTACTCCCTAGAAGAACAGAGTTCCATCAAGCAAGATATCTCTGAAGTATGGCCGTGCCATTGTTTAACTCCCTGTACTACTATGAGTGAGAAGGCTGGGAGAAGCAAGCCCGCCATCATAATGAGGTATGGCCATTCAAGACACATATGCACATTTGTATATGTGCACGCGTATGGCTCAAGAGGCCTCACCCCCAAGCTGTTGGGAACCACCCGAGTCTCACCCTAGGATCCCAGAGTTGATATTGCTGACCTCCAAGTGGGGGGATGCCGCGAAAAGAATAACCAATAGACTGCACTCCAAATCCAACTATTCCCTTCTTCGCCTTGATTAGGCCCAAGTAGATATCAAATTGCGACAGTAATAGCTGTAATTGTTCCTACCATGGCGTCGTTTTGGTGTCCTGCAATCCTGCACGAGTTGAAGCATCCATCTTTGTGCCTCAGAGAGTGCCTTCCGCATCCTTCCCAACCAGAGCTCTGTGGATCGTAGGGATGATATGGCTTTTTTCTAAGAGGAGCCCCCCCAAAATCCAGACCTCCTACAAGGGACCATATGGGCCCACAAGGCGCTATTGGGATTCATGGGCTCGTTGTGGGCGCTCCCGCAAGGGGGGGTCCCATATCAACAAGTGCTGAAGATAGTTTTGCGGTATTGACCAGGTCAGCGCTGTGTTATGAGATCCTGCTCCGGAGTACTGCGCAAGGTTTGCTTGCAGTTTTTGGGCTCCAGCTGCTCACGGTTGTAGACGGCAGGGGAGGGTTGAAGGATGGTCGAAATCTCCTATCGATTCACATTTCTGGACGTGCTCTGTGAGGATGAGGAGCGCGCCCAGGATACCCGCGCCGGACGTGCACTCAGCGAGCCCCCGATCAGTCACGGGCACTCATGGCGGAGCCCTGAAGAGGCAGAACTGTTCACCTACGTGCGATCTCTGCCCATCGGAATTTCGGAACAGGCTCCAGATGCGACCCACCGCGCATGGGAGCCAAGCGAACAACCACACCCGGAGTCGATCACAGGTGAGGGCTCCGATCTCAATGTGGGAAGCTTGGGCCACCCAGTGCTCTGCAAGCGCCCCTGCATGCACGTAGCTGCGGGGCGGCAGTGCGAGGCCACTTCTGCTACTGCTTACTGGGCTGTCGATGTTGGTGCTTGCGTTTGGGCATGGGGGGTGTGGGTAGTGAGGGCGGTGTCGGAGTCAACAAGGGTGGCGGCCGCAGGGGTATCATTGTCGTCATCGTCACCGTCGTGGCAGTCTAGGTCAGGGTGGAGACTTCGAGCGTTATGCGTTTCAGACGCAGGGGGGGGTGTTTCAGGACGGAATTTCAGGGCAAAATTTCAGGGCCGGGGCGGGGGAGATTTCCGACGCATGTCAGGGGCATTTCTGACGCAGAAAAGGGCGCATTTCAGGCGCAGTTGCAACTAGGGTTTGGGCTTCATGGTTTAGAGGTTAGGGACTGGGGCTTTTAGGGATTCAGGATTTTAGGGTTTGGCCTTTGAGGGTTTTTGGCTTCTGGGGATTAGAGCTCCTTGGGATTAGGGCTTAGGGAGATTGAGGTTTGTTGGGGACGAACGCTTCAGGCTATCAGGGAGAAGGACTTCTACGGATTAGGGTTTAGGGTGTTTGGGTTTGGTTTAGGGTTTGGGGATTAGAGCTTTGAGGGATTCAGGCTTTTAGGGATTAGCGTTTGGGGTTGGGACTTTTGGGGTTTGGGTTTGGGACTTTGGGGCTTTAGGGCTTTGGGGCTTTTAGGGATTCAGGGTGTTAGGGATCAGTTTTTACACTCCCCATGTGGGGCCTCACGCCTTTTAGGGGTTCGGGGCTTTCAGGGATTAGGAATTGTAGGGATTAGGGTTTAGGGAGATTGAGTTTTTTTGGGGATCAACACTTCGGGCTTTTAGGGCCTGGGTCTCTATACGGATTATGGCTTTGAGGGATTAGGGCTTTTAGGGAGTACGGCGTTCAGAGATAAGGTCTTAAATTCTACCTCTTAGGGTTTCGGGCTTTTAGGGTTTGGGGCTTTTAGGGGTTAGGGCATTTAGGGATTGGAGATTCTAGGGGTTGGGGTTTTCAAGGAACTTTTAGGGATTGTGGTTTCATTCTTAAGGATAGGTTTTTTCGGGATCAACGCTTAAGGCTTTTATTGGGTTGGGACTTCTAGGGGTTGGGGTTTAGGGAGATTGGGGCTTGTTTTAGGGTTTAGGGTTCAGGGATCAGGGCTTTTAGGGATTCAGGCTTTTAGGCAATAGGGTTGGGGTTTGGCCTTCTGGGGTTTTGGTCGATTCTGAGGACGCTCCACGCGAAAGAGCCGTCCGGAATCGCTGTCGGACCCGAAACGCACCTGAACACGTCCCGAAACGTCCTGAAATGCACCCTGCTCGGACTCGAACGGCCGACCTGAAAGGCACCCCTCCCGGAACGACACGCCGGACCCGAAACGCCCCTTCACCGGTGGACTTCATGGTGGTTGTGACGTTGTGGTTGCCCTGGTCAGCGTGGTCATCGTCGCCGTCGCAACTGCTGCTGCTGCTGCTGGTGTTGTTGTTGTTGTTGTTGTTGGCGACATCAAAGTCACATATTGCTCTGCTGCTGCTCATTCTTATTCTTGTTCTTATATTCTAATTTTTGTTTCTTGCATTTGACACCATCGTGGCTTGGCTGATGGTTGCCATGGTTTTGCTGCTAGTCTGATTGCAGCCCTTACCATCCTCCTGCTGGTGCTTTGGTTGTGTGAGGCCGGTGCCGCATGCGACTTCTGCCACTTGTGTGATGGCCAGAGCATGAGGCCTGACAGGAATCCAACGCCTAAAACCCTAACCCTCAAAGCGACCCCAAGTGTCCGAAAAACCTGAAGACCCCTTAAAACCTAAACCCTAAATAGTAGTTTCCATTTTCTTTTCCACTGTCCCAATGTAACCCCAATATAACCCCAAAATATTGAAGATCTCTAAGTCTGAGCCCAAAAGGTTGGACAAGCAGCAGCGCCGCATGGTTGCTGACATGCCCAAGGCCACATTTCTCCATGCAGCCCTGCAGCTGCTCCAGGACCCATGGGATGAGACTATTGTCCCCTTGAGTACATAGAATATGGGGTTTAGGGTGTAGGGATCATAGTCCCCCTTAAGTGGATAGAATACGGCCTTGGGTATTTTAAAATAAGATCCCCATGTACCCCAGATTCGATCTACTTAGGGGGACTATACCTACAAAAGAAGGAAGGGCAGCAGCTAAACATGTCAAGGAGATGCGCGTTTGACTCTTTTAAAAACCAATAGAAGACTAACAACACAAAATCGGATCAAAACGAGTACAATCTAATTAAGACATGTCTGAATTCTGATTAACATCAAATGGACAAGCAAATGGCTTCTATTTCAACCCATTTAAAGAACTATCCAATTAAAACCAAATGAAATTGAATAAGGATAACTAAAACCTAATCGAGATGGATATAGACCCAATCAAACCCAAGTTAAACATAAACTAGAACCAGTTAACATCCAATTAACCTTGTACTTGGCATTATGTACTTTTTCCTGGCGATCAAAGATCCTTATGCTGTGGAACCCAAGTTTTTGCAGTATCACATGGGGGAGGGCGGGGGGAACGGGGGGCCCGTGTTCTTGAAGAGTTCGATGGACTATGAGAGTCTGAAAATGTTAGGTCTATGGCTAGCAAAGGACTCTCATAACTACTATTATTACTATTACTAATACCCCAATTTCATTATTTTTTCAATAAACTATTATGATTGCTACTACTATCTCTATCATGGTAGGGGCCATGTTGAAAAATCCGATGCTAGCTCCGCATTTTTTTAAGGGTCCGTAGGGGGCTGGCAGGCCTGGCCTACAATTTCTCTGCAGCTTATGGCCTGAGAACCAACTTCGTGGCCTTAGCGTGAATTAGTCTAATCGGAGCTATAGTCTAAACTCCTTGAAAGGGAGCTATTTAGGGGATTAAATAGGGGACTATGATAGGGGTTCTGAAGGGGAATGCCAGGAGTTAAGACTATAGCTCATATGAGAACGAATGCCCTTGAAAAAGCTGCTGTTCCTTTAGAGGTTTTCCGTGAAGGTCAGGAAAGATCCTCTCACGCAAGGCCCGTAAGGGGTAGCTCAGGAAACAATGTTTGAGCCTAAGCCATAAACCCTTTGATTCCCAATTGATTCTCCCGCTACGCAGATCACAGAATCAGCTCTCGTGTTCTCGTTTGACGAGAAGCCAAGTAATTGAGCCTCCCTAAAACTTAAGGCTTTTTCATCTGAGTTCCTGATTGGGCATACTCTGGGCTTGAGGTTTCAAGATTTTAGCTTTAACATTTTGAGTCTTAGGGTCTCAAATTAGGATTTTGGCTTTTAAATTGAGAGCAACCTTTGTTTTTCAAGGTCTGGAAATTATTTGCTCTAATGATAGGGGCACAAAAATGTCTGTGCCATTAAAGTGTTCTCTGATCCCTAACCTGGGCAAAAAAGCTGCTGTCAATTCATCTGCGGCTTTGAATATTGTTGCGCTCAACTTATACTCCCCCAGCATAAGCCTAGCCCCTGATTTTTGCAAACCCCCATGTAGGGATCATCATAGGCCCCCCCTGCCCCCCTTCCCCCAAGCACCAGCCAGTTCAGGACAAGGCGCGCAATGCCCATCTCTGTGGCCCAGAGGCCATTTTCAACATTCTTGAGGATGAGCTGAGGCCGGAGAATTATTGGAAAAGAGTTTCCCGAACTTGCCTGCCTGCTTTAGGCGGTGGGGGGTGGTGCTTGCGCTTCGCAATGTCCAGAACAAGTTTAAGTGGGAGCATCAACAAATGAAAGGTCAAATTTCAAGATATTTCAAGTTTTTCTTTTGCGAATCCCACTCTTTGGTATGGACTATAGGGACCGTTACCGCTGGCAAGTTTGTCCTCACAAGAGGGGTCGGCCTTTGAGGCAGTGGCCTTTCCCTGCCTTATCCTATCGCGGCCCACTGCTGTGAGGGCAGAGCCCCCCCTCGCTTCACATAACACACAGAGGTCCGGGAACCAGAGTCGCCTTCATCCACCCGCTGAACTTCCGCGGCGCCTACTCCGCGGGTTGCGACACGCAAATTTCACCGCAGTTCCTTGGCGTAACCTCAGCCGCAAATGCAGCATCGACAACAATTGCGGTTGATGTGATTGCATTTTGTTGCATGTGTGCTTGTTCCTTGTGGGTGTGTTGCCGTTTCTGCGATTGTGCTTATGACTGTTTCGTACGGTCGTTGTATGTGCCTTCGCGTGACTGGCGTTGTACGTTTGCTGTTGGCATTGTGGTTTCCATGGTATTACTTCCATGCAGCGAATTGGAAAAATCCAAGAGCTCACCCCCACTTTGTGTGTCGAGTGAAGCTATCGTCTCTATTGATTCCCATTTTGATCGTGGGCTCCTTCACATCTGTACACAGGCCGTTGCAATGCCAAGGTGCGTGCATAGCATCCGAACATCCCAGCTAATCTGCCCTTATACTCAGACGTGTCACTTTTCAGATCACCATCATCTCACGACGCGTCATCATGCATGAGTGTAGCTCTCTGAAGCAGTGTTGCAAAACTAATAGTAGTTTCCATTTTCTTTCCCATTCTCCTTATCTACCCCCAATACACTATGGAGGTTACTATAATAAACCACAGGGTTCGGAGATTCGAGGTAGACCGAGTTGTGCCTCACAAGCTCCTCTGAAGATCTTCCGTGGCGTTTTTGAGAAAGATCCTTGTTGTTTCTCTGAGCTCGTCTTCCGAAGGTTCTGTGCCGCACCATGCAAGCTATGGAGTATGTAAGTTCGTAGTTGGTACAGATCTCTATACTCTGCTTCGTTATTGAACTGGATATCTTACTCCTCAAGCTTGGCAAGCTCTGGCGATCTGAGGTTGCCAGCCTGGCTGCGCAGAAGTGCTCGGAGGACGGCAGGACGCAGATGTATGAGGCTTTGCAGGAATTGCGGACTGCCTGCTGAAGGCAAGCTAGGGTCAAGATCTTTTTTGCTCTAACCCGAACTCAGCTGGCTGTCCAACATCCTGGTTGACCCCTGAGGCTTATTTCCCAGACAGGCGCCAGATCTGATTTGAGCGCGCTGATCTGAGACACTTCCCGGGTGGCAAACCTGCTTTGACCGGTCATTTGAGCCGCTGTGTCTGGGAGCTTCTATCATGAAAGCAACCAAATGCCATCAATGTATACCATGTAGTAGTTTCCATTATCCCTGTAGAACCCCACCTTGAAACACCCCAATCACGGCTGCTTCAACTTTGCAACAGATTTCAGGGGGCCTAAATGGATGCATGAAGTTCCGTGCCGATGTGTCGGGGCTTCAAGGCCTTCGGAACCTGTGTGGTGGACAGCTGCGTATGATAGGTCATAGGGTTTAGGGTATAATCCCTATATATACCCCTGTATAACCCCCATATACACCCTGTAATCCCGATATATACCCCAATATATACCCTATAATCTCTATATATATATATACTTATATATACCCCTATCTAACCCCTGAGAGTCATAGGAGCCATGTTACATGATATTCATCCTTCGGGTTACCGAGATGAGATACCAACCCAGGAAGGAGAGGTTCTATGAGCTTATATAGGGTTATATAGGGATAATGGAAAATAAAATGGAAACTACCATTTGTGGTTTAGGGGTTAGGGGTTTAGGGCTTGGGGTTTTCAAATGGACCACTGAGGGTGGACATAGGGGTGCCTTTAGTTTGTTCGCCTAGCCCCTACCGATGTCTATCAGTCATACGGGAAATCTTCACTGTATCTAATACAAATAGGATGCGTAAGGTTTCTGGCGATTTGTATCAATGTAGGTCTAGGCATGGAGATGGGATCTGAATTTATCCAGGCAGTGCCTTGGGTTTACTTGTCACATCTACACTCAGGTCTGGGTAAGCAAGTGCGATGGGTTGCGGCACAGTGCCTCCGTGCAGAGGGCTTCAGAGACTTGGGCCCTGCGAAGGCAGATAAAGGCCATCCACAAGAGGACCCTCTGAAAAGCATTCTCATTTCTAGAATTGCTTACATGGGTTGATCCCATCGATTCGGTAGCATCCCACGTTCCCTTGTGGTGTGGTGTGGGAGCTCGCAGCACCAACTAATGCACCGGAAGCAAAAGGCAGATTCTCCAAACAAGGTGTATCAGGAGGAAGCGCATGTAAGTGCAGATAGTGTGCAGATCCTCAAGTCGCGGTTAACTCGTGCGCAGGAAGACAGAGGCTAACGAGGGAAAGCTGGGCAATTTTCCTTAGCATGGCAAGGCAAGGCCGCTCCAATACTCGGGGCTGCCTGTCTTGAGGCGTTCACAGTTGTTATGCTTTAGTCTCCATGGTGAACACTTCCTTGCACGATTCCTTCGGAGGGGAGTGATTCGCCTCTCGGGCGAGGGCAATCATCGTGTTTAAGCGCATCGTCCCACGACTATTTGAATACACAAATCTTCCGGAGCCTTTGCAAAAACTCATGAGCTTTGTACGTAACATAGTGCCAATTTTCTGGCATCTTCCTCCCTGAAAGGGTTGTGGAGGCTTCGGGTCCTGCATGTCTTTGAAGGATGTCCCAGAAGGGGCAGCCTAAGCCTGGGCCTGGGGGATTTCCATGAAACAACGACCTTGTGCTGAGTCGGGAATGAGGCAATGGATCCCTAATAATTAGACTCTTCTAGAAAAATCTCTAGAAGAGTCCTTCAAATCCATTCCCACATTCCCTACTAAGCGCCAGGGAGAAAAACAGGGCGCTGATGGAGGGACACTCCTCTCTGCCCCTCACCAATATGCCAATAGTAGATCGCAGTCATAGAGCTGCCAAAGAGCAAGAAACCAGTTTCAATATGAACTGTGGAATTGTTAGATTTCAGCCAGGCATGATTTCAACAACGGATTTCTGGAAACCCTTCCTCAATTCTTTTTAAAGGCCGGGTTGAGCTCGGGCTTCGCTCGCAGTGTCGGCATCTGATGAGGCTTCGTCGGATTTTTGCGCAGAGGGCCTCCCAAGCCCAAATAGCATGGAATTTTCGGTTACTCCTCCCGTCCTATGATGTACTATAATATACTATAGTATGCTATCATATACTATAATATGCTATAACATACTGTGATATACTATAATGTACTCGAATATTCTAAATATAAGGACCCTGAAAAGCGTGTAGAAGTAATATGCTTCAGCATGGTCTCAGGGTGCACGAAGTAGTGGGCTTAGAAATAAGGACCCAAAATTCTAGGAAGCGCCCACTTGTCATGAGCTATAGTCTAAACTCCTTAACGGGGCTATACGGAGGATTATATATGGGAATTATAGGGCTTATTAAGAGGGATACTAGGAGTTTGGAATGTGGCTCACACCTTCAGCTTGGTGTGCTTTTGGCTCAGTTGGTCGTGATGGTAAATTTTGGCTAGGGTTGACGTGACGGCTTCTGTCATCCATCCTAAGCTGTAGGTTCATTCAGTGAGCAGAGATGCACATGATACTATATAATGTACTACATTATACCACCATAACAGACTATACTGTATTAGAACATACTAGAATGCTAGAATATATTACAGTTTACTAGAATATATACTACAACAACGTTTCTTGAGGCATGTTTCACTGAGTGGCACGACATCCCAGAAGCTTCCTCAACGCTCGCACACAAGCAAGCAAGCGACCGATGCTCAGAATCATGAAGCGCAAGGGTCCCAGAGTCGGGGCTTGATAAGTATATCATAGTATATTTTAGTAGGTGATAGTATAGTAGTATATCTTAGTATACTATATGCTTAGAGAGCTTCAAGGCTTTGAGGGGTTATATTGAAGTTATATAGGGGTTATAGTGGGGCAATGGAAAATAACATGGAAACTACTATAACGGGTTATGTAGGAACTATACAGGGGTTATATTGGGGTAATGGAACATAAAATGGAAACTGCTTAGTTTATAGGGTTGAGCATAATGTGCTACGTGTAGGAAGCGAGAGCTCCACAACAGGAAGTTGGGAGTAGTCACAGCATTTTTCAGTTCTGGGGCTGAAGTTCACTTTTTGTGGTGCATTCCGGATTCCAACTTTGCTCAGGTTTCAGCTGAGCAAACAGGATTGGAGACACTAATCCCAAAAACTTCCATATAAGTATCGCTTCCAAATCATTTTCCGTTTTCTTTTCCATATGAATCGTTTTGGTATCGACGTGCGCTGTCATTGCAGCGGTCGACAACCAACTAACAGCTTGACCGGAGGTACACCTTAACCCTGCGACCCTGCACCTATACATAGGTGGGATGAAGCCAGTTAAGTCCTTGCTTCTTTCCTGTTTTTTTGTTGGAGCCATTTTCCCCTGGCCGTTTGGAAGCTTGCGCTGATAAATGCTGTGTGACGCAGATAGTTGTCCGGGACAGTCTGGTCAAGCTTTTTTGTGGAGGCCCACAGCCTAAACCAACCATCCAGGCCCTCTTGTTGCCCTGCAGATCTACTTGTCCCAGGCTGTTTTGATTGACCAGCGGCTGAAGCATATTCAAGACATGCTTGCCTGGCTGGGCCATTTAAGTCCAACAAAATTCTGCAGAGACGAAGACGCAATCCGTGTTGATCCTAGAAATGCTCACAGGTTTGGGGCAAGGAAGTCCATCTGGGAAAGCAGGAGAACCAAGTGCTAATTTGGGTCTTGACATGTGGTTCGTGTTTGGGCAGGCCTGTCCTCGGTATCAGTGGAGGGAGGGAGCACCTGGTATACAGTACACAGGGTGCACTTGATTCGCTCCAAATTCATGTGAGATAATCTTACACTGCAGCTTGTTCAATGTGCAGTAGAGCTTTCTTGGTTCGCAAGCTCGCCTGTAAACTTCATTCGTGACTCTTGAAGAGTACGAGACCCTCATACCAACCATTTTATGTTCTGATTAGGGGTTAGGGGTTTGGGGTCGTCAAAATCCCTCATTACTCGGAGAGGTTCCAGTTGGTTTTGGGCACTAGCGTTCTAGAACAAGAGATTGTCAGCTTGGTGTTTGGGCATAACTTTGCGATACCGTAAACTTCGCGCTGATCAATTACCATGGAGCAAATATGATTTCATGAGAAAAAGATACCCAAACCCCAATGAGCCATAATCTAAACTCCTTAAAGCGGGTTATATCCGGGATGATATAGGGGACTACTATAGGGCTTGTTAAGCGGGGATACTAGGAGTGTAGACTATGGCTCAAGTGCAACAGATGCTCTGTTTTTCTCATCCCGACTTGACCTGCAATTGTAACATTTCGATTCCTGATCTGCCCCTCCCTTCGTTGCCGAGCATCGGGCACTTTTTTGACGTTTGAACGGGTTCCCTAATATACTTTTATATATGCGAACATATGTTTGTATATGCTACATGTGCATATGCATACATGTACATATACATATGAGACATGCATAAGTCCGTTTATGCATATGCATTATGCATGTATTTATACACGGTGCTCCCCTGATGCCTTCTCTGGCATATGTCGAATAGGCTGCGCAAGTCGTGTTTTTGTGGTAGGAGGGATCTATCATCCTAGCCTTAGTGGATATAGTATGTGCCTTGCCATACCGATGTCAACATAACACCGGCAATCTATTCCAAGAAATTCTGTGCAGGATCTTAAGATAGAGTTGGGAATCCTCAGTGGTACAGCGCTCAGTACGAGCTGGAACTGACGCGGTTCTGGTAGCTGCCCCGGAAGGTCTCCCTCCGCATAGCACCAGAGGTCTGCTTGAAGTTGTTTTGGGTTCAAGAAACTCGTGACTGTGGACAGCCGGGGAGGATTGAAGGATGGCAGAAGTTGCCTATCGCTTTACGTTTCTGGACGTGCTCTGCGAGGATGAGGAGCGCGCCCAGGACATCCGCTCCGGCCGTGCGCGCAGCGAGCCCCCGCTCGGTCTCGGGCGGCAGCCGTGCTTGAGCCCTGAAGAAGCAGAATTGCAACTTTATGTGCGCTCACTGCCCGGCGGGATCACGGGTGGGACCCCAGACTCCGTGCAAGGTCAGGCAGAGGAGGCATTGCTGAGCTCTGAAGAGGCAGAGATGGCCAGCTACGTGCAAAGGGAGTCAAGGGCACAGCCACATCCCGAGTCCATCACAGTTGATGGCCCCAATCTCAACATGGGAAGTTTGGGCCACCCACTGCTCTGCAAACGTCCGTGCGTGCACGTGTCTGCTGGGCGGCGGTGCGAGGCACGAGGGCTATTGGAACTATTGTTATATTTGTTTGAGATTGAGTGTGATTGTCATTCTGATTGTCAGAAGCATAAGGAGTACCGTTGGCAGTCTTGCGTCTGCTACAACCACCATCAGAAGTACGAGCACAAATTCCACCAACATTACCAGCCTGTTTATTACCCTTATCCGCCTGATCCCTCTTGTGGCGATAGTCCTTTTGTGAGGCCGGTGCATCTTGCGACTTCTGCCATCTTTGCGACGGCCATGGGTTGAGGCCTGACGAGCAGCATCCTCTGCGAAAAGCTAAGCCCAAGTCTGGATCACGGGCGCTGAAACCCTAGCCGTGGGCAAAACTGCCAAATCCTTGAAGGCTTGACAAGCAACAGCGGCGAATGGTCGCCAACATGTCGAAGGCTGAATTTCTCTACTCGGCCATTCATCTGCTCAAGGCCCAGATCTTAGTGGTTTGGGGTTGAGGGTTCAGGATCAGGGACTTAGCGTTGAAGAAGAGTTGGGAATACAGGATTTAGGGTCCTTTCCTTGGATCTGCCAAGGTAGAAGGACTGTGAGGGATCCTAGGGTCCTATGGATCCAGAATGATCCCTTCAAGGAGTTGTTTGGAAAAGCTCCCAGATGACAATGTTTTCTGGCAGTCATGCAGGCATGAGCAATGACTTTAACACTGACAAAAACGTTAACCATTACAGTGCAGATCGCCGAAAATAAACAGGATTCAAGATCATAGGCAGAAGAGTCCTAATCTCAATAATAGCAATTGTTGAACACCTTCACACATGTCTCAGCAATACATGCAGTGATAGCGATACTCATAGTCGTGGCTCTTCGACTGTTCGAGGGCAGGGAGACGTTGATACGAACTCTATCCTCAGTAACATACTTCTCACAAGCAATATGATTGAGGAGGACCCCCCCACCCTGTTATAGTGGCATAGTAGGACTAGAATAGGACCCTCGCATAATCCTTATGATTTCTTATCGTCACTATTACAGGGTGGCGGGTCCTCTTAAAGTATGATAACCGCATTGGCAGACTGCGGCCAGCCAACTGCCCAGATTGGAACCCAATGCCCAATGTCCAAAGCATATGAGCTATAGTTTAAACTCCTTAAAGGGGAGTTCCTTAGGGGATTATATAGGGTTAAGGGATTAAGGTTTAGTGAGTAGGGTTTAGGGATTAGGGTTTAGGGTCTAAACTCCTGGGTTTCGGGATTAAGGTTTAGGGATCAGGGTTCAGGGATTAGGGTTCAAGGTCTAAACACCTTAAAGGGGAGTCATATCAGGGAATCTATAGGGGAATATTATAGGGGCTAGTAAGGGGGAAGCCCGGAGTTTAGAATATAGCTCATTACGAAAGCTTCCTCAAGCTTTCGTCCAAGTCCAGCTTTGCTGATCTGTACTAAGGGGGTGTGGGGGTTAGGAAAGCCCAAAA